AAATAATTAGTACCACGTATTAATGGCTGAAGCTTTGATGTCCCATTATCCCGTCAATTTTGTTACGAATCGCTTCTCTCATCGCACCAAATCAAAAATTCATGGCATACTGCAACTGGTGGGTGGCGCAATGGCATTGCTAGGTGCTTTCAGTAAAATCTCGCAGACAGAAGTGCATTTTACCACATGGCATGGCAAAATCGGTAAGTCAAGTTTGTGGCAAGAAGCAGCCAACCATGTTTGGGAGTAAAAACCTATTTAAATGCCAGAATTCAAATTACACATCTTCGCAATTTCCAGGTCTTGCCGCTAACTTTATGTGCTTCGCCAGTATTACCGGTGGCATCGTCAACTATTTTCAACCGAAATTCGTACACAAAATTTATAGTCCCGCAGAGGTGAAGTATAGACATAATCTTTTTGGTATGGTCACTTTTACACTCGGCATGCTGACAATCTTCCTCGGCTATCGCACGAAATTCGCTTACAAATATATGGATCCTGAATTTATTGTTGCCATAAGTTTAGCCACTGTTTTAGTTTATACTTTTACAATGATAGCACCATTTCGATCATTTTTAGATAAGCGTAAGTACAGAAGGCGGAGTTGAAAATAGTTTTTTAAGATTTGTAAAAGTGCAATTAGTGTAATGTACCTGGGAGTTATTAATAAAAGATGGTTATTTATTTAAAAAAAAATGGATATAAGCTATAATAAATTTAAATCTTTGTATCCGTTCGATAGCTTTGTTAATTTTAATAAGTTCAATTTTTAGGATACAAAATCCAAATATGAAATTTCAAAAAAATTGCATTGATTTTTGGGAGTTTTTTTGTTGAAGACGTTTCGCATTTTCTCCATACAAAGTATTTTCGAAATTTTTTTTTTATGGAAAAAAATGCGCGAAAGGAAGTCTTAGTTACTTCAAGCTTGCATTTTTTATACTCAAATTTAATGGGCATTCTCAAAAAAATTTAAAAATCTGATAAAAAAGTTGAAAATTTGCATGGAAATTTATAGAATTTTCCTGAGTGTTTCACAAAGTTTAGAAATAGTATTTTTATATTTTTTGTTGTAGGATTAACCATATCTTTATAAAAAAAAAAAATAGCGGAAAAAAATTCAAATTAATGGGTTGTAAAAAATTCCACGGGCAAATGTTTGTAGCCGTGAGTGTACATTAGGGTGGTCCAAAAATGCATGTTAACAAGTAAAGTCGGAATTTTTATGCTCTCACCCCCTAGGATTGTTCTACACCGAAAAAAATATACCCATATTTTTTATTTTGAAATCAAAAAATATTTAGAGGTCGCTCAAAGTTTTCCACGTATTTTATATGGGAAAAAACCACTTTTTGTAGAAATGATATATAATTCTTGAAAATAAATATTTTTCGATCGGAAAACTTTGTTTCTCTTCAAGAGATTCCCAGTAATAGTGCCCAATTATTTATTTAACAATTTTTTCATAGTAACTATATTTTATAGGATCGCCAAAACCCCCAGAAAATGTAATCGGGGGATAAATAAAAAATCTTTAGTTTTAAAAAATGATTAAATAAACAATTGGGTATTGCTATTGGAAGTCTCCTGAAGAGAACCAGAGCTTTCTGATCGAAAAATATTGATTTTCAAGGATTTCATACCATTTCTACGAAACGTTGTTTTTTCATAAATACATGGAAAGCTTTGAGAGCTTTTTGCGATTGGATGAGTACGACATAGATACATACCGAAAAATCTTATACTAACACAGGCGTATATGGGGAGACGGCAACAAATACAGTGGATGGAGCACCACGAGTATAATCCGCGGCACGACACCAGTTCGCCGAAAGTATCTTGCAAACACTGCAGGCTGTGGGTCTAACAGTGACGTCTCGGAAAACAGATCCAAGAGTCACAGAAGGAGGACTAAGCCACCCATGTATACCAGGTCAATCAATCGTGCTGAATAACTATATATATAGAGGCCTTTGTGGTATGATGCNAATTATTTATTTAACAATTTTTTCATAGTAACTATATTTTATAGGATCGCCAAAACCCCCAGAAAATGTAATCGGGGGATAAATAAAAAATCTTTAGTTTTAAAAAATGATTAAATAAACAATTGGGTATTGCTATTGGAAGTCTCCTGAAGAGAACCAGAGCTTTCTGATCGAAAAATATTGATTTTCAAGGATTTCATACCATTTCTACGAAAAGTGGTTTTTTCATAAATACACGGAAAACTTTGAGAGCTTCTTGCGATTGGATGAGTACGACATAGATACATACCGAAAAATCTTATACTAACACAGGCGTATATGGGGAGACGGCAACAAATACAGTGGATGGAGCACCACGAGTATAATCCGCGGCACGACACCAGTTCGCCGAAAGTATCTTGCAAACACTGCAGGCTGTGGGTCTAACAGTGACGTCTCGGAAAACAGATCCAAGAGTCACAGGAGGAGGACTAAGCCACCCATGTATACCAGGTCAATCAATCGTGCTGAATAACTATATATATAGAGGCCTTTGTGGTATGATGTCTGGATGGGGTTAAAACTCCTGGCGTGGCAACGAATGAAACTTGACTGCCATCCAGTCAACAATAGACTCGCGCCTACTGCAAAGCGGAGAAGCAGAAGGGATGGGAATTTTAAATGGCAGGCTTCAAGAACGGAAAGCATCAGAACTCTGATCCCGAGCGACGCAGTAGCGAATCCGTTGCCCATATTGAGCGAAAAAGCGGGGGAAACATGTATGAGCCAGTCGCTCAGAGGAAGACCCCGTTCGCGCTAAGCAGTGAAACAGAGAGAAACACGATAAGACAATGGACAAAACGGCGAAGATCGTAGAGTTAGGCAGCAGACAGCGCCACGAACATGCGCTAGCCGAAGAGCGGGGAAGAGCAGGGAGCACCTTCCGCCTCCAGTTTATTGGATGACATTTGCGAATTCAGCAAGTTTTGCCGCTCGATACCTCAAAAATCCTCTATCGAATTGACATATTGGCTCTGGCATGAAAATTCCAAACTTTTGTGAAATAAAACATTTGAAGTTTATCTAATCAGTTTGCAATGTTTGCGTTTTATCAATGATGAATGAAAACATCAAAATAAATGCTAAATTCTCTACCAGCTTGCATAAAAAATTTGGCTCTGGTCCAAATAATGCTGCCAAAACTCGTTTAAAAACCTTCAAGATAAGAGAGATGGTTGAACTTTTTGTGTAAAAATATGCACTTTTTATTATTGACATTTTGTAACTACCAAAGATACATATGTATCTATGTAGTTTCGTTATAAAAAAAGTTGAGGCATATGTACGTACGTTATTGTATTTCCTTCTAAGCAAGCAGGAAGCGCCTGAATGTAGGCATAGACAATGAACTCTTGTAACGCAGGGCAACTCTTCCGCTTCGCGAGGGCTTGTATGCATATTGAATTTAGAGATAAATTTATGTATTCATATATGCAAAATATATATGTATGGTCTTATACATATGTATGTATATTAGGGTGGTCCTTAAATGTGAGAAGCAAATTTTTACATCAGATTTCCTAAGCCTCAAACCCTGCGTCGATGCTACTTTAGTCGAAGATATCACATATAAATTTTCGCCCCGATTGGAGTCGGTTAAGGCGTGTCGCACAGGGGTCAAACTTCAGATTACCCTATGAAAATGGCTTAACCGACTGCAATCGGAACCAAAATGTATATGTGATATCTTCGACTTTAGTAGTATCGATCTACGACTATAGTAGTACTCGATTTTGGGTATTAGATGGAAAAAAAAATTTATTTAATTTTTTTGAGTCTCCATACCAAAATTTATATGTGATATCTTCGAATTTAGTAGTATCTATTTTGGGTTTTAAATGAAAAAAATATTTTTTAATTTTTTGAGTCTATAGAGGCATCTGGCCTCTGACCCTTTTGCGACACGCCTTAACCGTCTCCTATCGGGATCAAGATTTTTATGTGATATCTGTGATCGTGGTATTGCCAATTGAGGGGGTGAAACTGAAAAAAGTCGATCATTTGATTTTTATGAACCACCCTAATGTGCATACACTCTGCGTCAGTAATATTTCATTCAAAATTCGTNCAAGGCAACGAAGTGGCTAATGAATTGGCAAATTGCGATTCTCTGCAGCGTACAATTGGACCGGAGCCAATTTTAGGGCCAAGCATAGCGGGCATGATCCGGTACATCAAAGATAAATATATTTTACAGTGTTACCATCTGTTTAAAAGCCGTATTTACTTAAATTATTCATAAGTTACCGTATGAAATATTAAAATATGGGCGCCAAACGAGAGATTATTAGGAAATATTTAGCTTGAAGAGTAAGACTATTATAGAGGGCTGCCACCTGTTCAAAAAGTTAAACTCTATTTATGTAATAAGTTCTAGAAATCATTAAAAGATGGGTAGTATTTGAAATGGATTTAGAATTCAATCCAGTAAAATCAAAAGGAATGTACAGCTTAGCGGCTGTGGCTCCGGCACAGCGGGGAGGTTAAGATGAAGGCGGTGGGACTGATCCTTTCTTGTCTACTTGAAATTTTAATGCGACTATATAAAAAGCGCTCGTACTGTAAAACGTTCTGGGCACGTTAAATGCTAAAAAAAATTTAAAATTTTACGTTGCAAGGGGCAGATCGACTCTATAGACTTAGTAACCCTCGTAAACTTTAACGTTCTTCGTATGAAAATTGCAGGATGTCCTTGTGAGCTACTACTGATTTGAATAAGTATTTCACTTGTTAAATACAATGATTTTAAATTTGATTAACTTCATTGAACCCACACAAAAATATGAATAAGTATCATATTTATAAGCGAGTAGTGCCAACATTTCCACTTGCAACATGAAAATTGAAAAGGAGAATTCAAACTCAATTCCATAAAAAGTCCTTGAGCGCATCACACTGACCTTGCACTGCTGCCCGCAACAGTGGCTATTTAGTACTATGTTTTGTGCTACGCTGGCAGTTTCGGAATCATCCACAAATGAGATGTTAGTAAAAGCTAATACAGCGTAATGTATTCAGCAAAAAAGTTAACTGCCAAAATTAGAAACGATTGATGTGCACAGTTTTGGCCAATATATTTTTTACAATTTTAATATTCAGAAAAAAAAGTAAAGGAGTGGATACTTCTGCATAGCCTACTTAAAGATTCAAGTTTTTTTTTTTTTATTAAAATACTTTATTATGTTAACTAAACTTAGTTGCTTGTATTTATAACGGTCATTCCAAGTAAAAATAATACTCATGGGTTTATGAATATATGTAAGTACTGTACATACAATTACGTACTCGCATACACACAGAATGTTGAATGCTCAACATTAATCGCATTGCTTTGTTTTGGTCGCGCGCTCAATCGAACACAAATGGGCAAGCAGCGCAGACATTGCACAGCAGGCGAGCTTGTCAATGGCCAACAGTGCTCACACCTCAGTTCAACTTACACCAGTTGGCATATAAAGTGGGCCATGAGATGCAAAGGGTAGTAAGTTGATGGAAGGAAAAACAGAGTGAATATGGAAAAAAAACATGGCATTGTACTAACATACCCATAGGTAGGGATGTGTATTATAGTAATGCGTGGTAGACTATTCTCTTTCATTTTATTGATTAATACCCTGCAGGAAATGGGGCTAGTTTCTAATTTT